CGGCTGCGGGCTGCTTCTGGGGTGCAGCAGGGTCTGCGGTGCCAGGAGAGGCAGGAAGCTGCCTTAGCCCCCGTGCTGCACGGCTGAGCGGGAGCCACTTGAAGGAAACCCCTGATGCTCAATCCCTGACCCCCAAATCCGGAGCCCCCTCCTGCACCCCAAAGCTCCACCCTCAGCCCCACTCCAGAGCCCATGATGTCCCGGCATCAACGATTTCCTTCAACTGGGACATGAGAAAAACTGTTCGAACCCCCTGGACTAGGCAATCAAGCCATAGCTTCTATCTTGCAGGGGGGTGCCCTCACCACTAGGCCAGGCTGCCTCCAGGTCAGAGGAAGCACCGGCCTGGGCCAGGCCCCTTGAGTTCTTCCAGGCTACTGGAGCGTCCCGCCTTGACCCTGCCCCGAGAGGAGGCTGCTGCGATCTTCCTCGCCCTTCCTCGGGCTAATCGCAACGCCGATTGACGAGCCACCAGAGCAGAGCGCGGGGCTGTGACGCCAGCCTGTGCCCGCAGCCCAAAGAAATCCCGTCCATCCCGGGTAGGGTTAACAGAGAGGCGAAGGGTTCCCCTGCCCCACGCAGGAGCCTGGAGGGAACAGCCCCGCCTCTTCCCCCTCCCCGGCATTTCCCATCCCAGGGCACCCTGCGTTCGGAACGGTCCAGCCACCAGGCCGGGGTGCTGGGGAGACCGGGCCAGTCTCAAGGGCTGCGGAGGAGGGGGGATCGGGCCCCTCGCTGCATGCGCCAGGGCAGGGTCTCCTTCTGCAGCCGGGGCCCCTCAATCAGCTGCCCGCCGCCCGTTCTGCTGGCCCACGGGCACCTCGATCCGGGGGAGAACCCAGCACTGGAAACGGGGGGTCTGTCCAGATCCAGCCGGGCACGACCTCTGACCTTTGCGGAACCCCGATTCCCCTGCCCTGGCAGCTGAGCCGGGAAGCCCACGACTCCGGACTCCCACAAGGGGCGAGGGAGGAACCCTTCCACCAGCCCCACCCCAGCCAGCGTCCCGGAGACCTGGTGGAGCCCGGAGCCTCCCAGCCCTGCAGGGAACAGAGCGGTGACAGCAGGCAGCCGGGGCCACCCACCCACTTGGGGCCCTGACGCAGCCCTGCCACGGATGCGGGGAGCCAGGACCCGCACGTGCACATGGTGCCGCCTTTCCCTGGCTCCCCCCTGCTCTGTCCCCACCGACCCACTGCCCCCGGCTGTGCAAGGAGCCCCACAGACACGTCAGCTGCACAATTCCTCCTTCCCGGAGGTACAGCCCTTGGTGACTACAAATCCCAGCATGCCACGCTCCCTGCCTCCCTGAATCAAGATGGAATGCTGCCCTCCTCCACCTTGCTGACGAAGATGCCCAGGCCGTGCTCCGAGCCGCCGCGCACGCTGAAGCCCAGCTTCCCGTCCGCGCTCCTTTCCACCGTGACGGCCTGGATCACGTCGCTCTCATCGCCGGTGGCTGGGGACACAGGGCACGAACACGCAGGAGAGAAGGGGGCCGGTTCCGCGCCGGCCCTGCCCCGTGGGCTGTGTCCTCCACCTTGCTGACGAAGATGCCCAGGCCGTGCTCCGAGCCGCCGCGCACGCTGAAGCCCAGCTTCCCGTCCGCGCTCCTTTCCACCGTGACGGCCTGGATCACGTCGCTCTCATCGCCGGTGGCTGGGGACACAGGGCACGAACACGCAGGAGAGAAGGGGGCCGGTTCCGCGCCGGCCCTGCCCCGTGGGCTGTGGGTGCAGGAGCCAGGCCGGGCCTAGCTAGGTGCCAGAACGGGCCAGGCCGAATTCCTGGCACTCGGCCGCCCCAGCTGCTGTCTGGTGGCGCCTGGAGCGCTCACAAACTAACTCAAGGGGTTCAGAGGCGGATACCCTGTTCCCACAGGCCACGGGTGGGGAACCTAAGCCCTGGGGGCTGCATCTGGCCCCCGGCTTGTCTGGATCCGGCCCTCAAGTCTCAGCGCCCCCCCACCCAGCAATGGGGAGCCCTTGCTGGTGCTCCAGCCCCTCTCCCATCCCACCATGGGGCTGGAACACAAACCTACTAGCCTCCCCTCCCCCCCTGCTCAGTCAGGGGCCACGACAGTGGGGGTTGGGTTTTTCTTTTTTGCTCCTCACTTGTGTGCGGCCCCCGACTGATTTTTCCGTGGGTCAGCGGCCCCCGACCCACAAAAGGTTCCCCTCCTCTGCCACATGCGACCACGGAGTCAAGTCCTCACAAAGCCCCTTCAAAGCATTAGCCGCCTGGGATGGCACGGTGCTTTCCAGGGATGGGGAGAGGGGATCATTCCCATTTCGCACCTGGGAAACTGAGGCACGGAGGCGGGAGGGCCTTGCCTAAGCTCGGCCCAGGATGGAACCCAAGCGTCCTGGCGCCCAGCCCAGTGCTTTGCCCACCACACCATCCAACCCTAACAAGGAAAGAACCCAGGGGGTTCTGGCTCCCCGGCTCCGGCTCTACCCCGTATCCCGCTCCGCTAGGATTGCTCGTTGGCCGCCCTCAGCCCTGGTGTCAGTGCCTGGGCACGAGCGCTGAGCACGGCAGGAGCGGAGGGAGCACGTGGCGTGACGTGCGTCGCACAGGGGGTTCACGGGGTTCAAGCAATGGGGCACCACCCCGTGGCCAGCAGGCGGGGCTGTGAGCAGTGGCGTTACCCCGGGGCGGGCACAGTCAGACTCCTCGCACCGTTCACGGCAGTGGATCCTGTTCTGTGTCAGGACCTCCCAGCCCGCCCTCGCCCATGCCAAGACCCCCCATCATTTAGCAATGGGGCAGGCCAGGCTGGATGTGACCCCCTGCCATGGGTCGGGAACTGCTGGGGAGATGGAGGGTGACCCCAAAGAAGCCCCCCCAGCGGAAGCAGAGGCGCGGTGAGGAGAGGCCTGGGGAACT